TTTATCCTTGCTTTCACTATCTTCAAAGATGTTACTGAAGTGTATGTTGTGTTGTGTTTGGCCCATTTTTGCTTCCAGGTATTTTATGGTTTCTGTTCTTATGTCTAGGTCTTTAATCCACTTTGAGTTGATTTTTGTGTGTGGTGTGAGGTAGTGATCTAGTTTCATTTTTAACATGTAGCTTCCCAGTTTTCCAAACACCATTTGCTGAACAAAATTTCTTTGTTCCATTGTATCTTCTTTGCTCCTTTGTCAATCATTAGATGTCCATAAACCTGTGGGTTTATATCTGGGTTTTCTATTCGAATACACAGGTCTATGTATCTGTTCTTGTTGCAGTACCATGCCATTTTGATTATTATGGCTTTGTAGGATAGCTTTAAGTTTGGGATTACAAAGCCTCCATTCTCTTTCTTCTTAGTCACGAGAGTTTTGGCTATTTGAAGTCTTTTGTTGTTCCATATGAATCTCATCAATATATATATAGAATCTATTTCTTTGAAGGATGTCATTGAGACTTTTATTGTTATGGCATTAAATCTGTGTATCGCTTTTTGTAGGATGAGCATCTTGATGATATTAATTCTCCCTATCCATGAGCAGGGGATGTCTTTCTATGTCATGGTGTCTTCTTGTATTTCTTTTAACAGTGCTTTGTAATTTTCTTTGTATAGGTCTTTTACCTCTTTTGTTAGGTTGATGCCCAGATACTTGATTCTTTTTGTTTTGATTGAAAAGGATTTTTTTTTTAATTTCTGATTCTTCTGATGGTTGTTTGTGTATAGGAAGGCCTCTAACTTTTGTGTTTTGATTTTATAGCCTGCTAGCTTTCTAAACTCCTTGATTGTTTTGATTAGTTTTTCTGTGGAATTTTTAGGGTTTTTCATGTAGATTAACATATCATCTGCAAATAAGGACAGTTTTAATTTTTCTTTCTCTATTTGGATTCCTTGTATGACTTTTTTTCTATCATATTGCTCTGACTAGAACTTCGATTGTTATGTTGCAGAGCAGTTAGATAGTGGATACCCTCGTCTTGTTCCTGATCTCAAAGGAAAGGCTTTCAGCTTTTCTCCATTGAGGATAATATTGGCTGTGGGTTGGTCATATATGGCTGCTATCGTGTTGAGGTATGTTCCTTCTATTCCGAGGATTTCGAGGACCCTAAATATAAATGGATGTTGAACTTTTTCAAATGCCTTCTTCACATATATTGATATTATTATGTGGTTTTTATTTTTCTGTCGGTTGATGTGATTGATTACAACTATCCTAGAACTTTTTCTTCATATAGTTGCACATCTGTATGATTTATTGGCCTATGTTTCTACCATTGTTGCTCTTACCACTAATTAACATATAAGAACATCAAATTTGCTTTCCTTAACGATTATGTACAAAATATTGACTCTTCACATGTTATTGATAAAAGAGGAAGATTATCCAAATGCGGGTCATTAAAATAATTTGTTGAGACAGCTACATTTACTTTCCTAAAATTATAGGGAGGTTTTGACAGTTAATTTTCTTCAGAATTGGCTCTTCCTGGTGGCACAACAGGTTAAAGCACAGTACTAAAGAAGCTAAAGCCACTTCAGCATGAGTATGATCCCTGTCTGTCCTGGAGGTCACCTACATGGAGCAACAGTCCCTCCTGAACCACCTGCTGCTCCCCTTAGCAGTGTACTTCATCCATCTGCCTGTTCTGTTCCCTACTCTGTCTCTGGTGAATCCTCTCACTGCCCTTGTGCTTCTGGCCTGTACCCCAGTTCTTTATGTATAAATAATCTTTAACATTTTTTTGCTCTCTAGAATTGTTTCTGAGCATAGACACAGAAAAATCAAAATGATTTTTGTTACAAAAACAATTTTAAGTTTACTTATTAAAAACATTATTTTAGTTTAAAACTATCATTCTTCTCAGAATTTGTATTCATACTCTGCTTTACTTATCCATAGAGCAGAAACATTGAAAGTAAGAAAAGAGAAGGATATATGTCTTTGCAACTAACATTCTATTTTAATTTATTCATATTTTAATTATGATAAAAATGTTCACAAAATTGATTTCTGAAATATTCATTAAAATTAGACCCTGTGAGATTTGCCTTTCTCCTTTTATCTTGCTAAAATAATTGAATGTTGCACTATGGTTCTTGTTAGGGTATGAGCTACATTCAAAATAGATCACTTTATTTAAAACATACAAACACAATAGTCATTAAATGTTTTAATATTACATTTTCCTTTTTGCTCTTCTGAAATTTACATTTTTCTTTGAGTCAATAGAGTGAGAATAACATGGGTTATGTTTAGTCAAGTGATACTCTTACGAAAATAACAATATGACTTTTAAATTTTATTATCTACTGTTATCTAGATAACATGCATTTACAATACTGAACATGATTCAAAGTTATAGGATCACCTCTTTTAGCTGCATTTTATTGCAACTGCCTAGAATGCACCCACTATCTACCCTGGTCCAATGGATCCCCTCCACAAATTGCTCTCCATCACCTGTGTCCCTCACTGGAACCCTGATTTTTATAGCTAGATTTCTAGAATTTTTGTTCTATTTTGTCTTGTTGAGACCCTTGTTTTGTTTCACTGTATTGTATATATGGGAAAACCATCCAATAGTTTTCTCCTTCTGATTTATTTTATTTAGCATAACTGGCTCTATTTCCATCATGTTCTCAAAAGTGGCAAGAAGATTTTTTTTTAAATTGCTGAATAGTATTCAATTTATATATATAAGAATTTAGTATATATTCTTATATATAACCAGGGCCTTCCTGGTGGCACATGGGTTAAATTCTCAGCACTATCAAGTTATCACCAGCCAAGGTGACCTGAGCTAAGTCCCAGGCAGGAAGCTAACTTACATGGCACAACAGATCTCTCCTGTCTCTTCCTCTGCTCCCCTCACCATTTTATTTCAGTAGATCTGCCTGTTCTGCTCCCAGTCTGTTTCTGGTTAATACCCCTCACCACCCTTGCACCTATGGTCTTAACCCCAAATCTGTATGTGTAAATAAAACTGCCTTAAAAAAATAAAATCAAATAGATCAATTGTCAACTGCTTTAATGGAATGAAAATAATAACCAGATTTATATCTCTGCTTATGGATTTTCCCACTAAGTTACCTTATAAAACAGCAGAGTGCAAGCATATATTTATGAAAATTATAGGTGTGATCATCTCAACTTCTTTTGTACCTGTGATTTCTAAAAGATTCCAATTCAAGCCAATTATGTCTTCATATTTTTTCAAGATAAGACTAAGTTATATGACATTAAGTAAAATTGTTTCCTAGGATGTCATACCATTGTTAACCTATGGATTATTTTTTCTTAGAAACATTTCCTCTATAATAATATAAGAATTTAAGAATCTGTTGTGTATAAGACTGAATGCTTAGTTGTTCTTGAATTTTTTTTTACAGATATTTTATATAAGTAAACATTAAATTTTAGCTTATCTTCTCTGAATGTAGAAAAAAATAGGGCCAAATAACACAGAAGTGTTCTGATATGTTGGAAATATTTGGGGGAAATAATAACTTGTGGTAAACCTGAATAAATGACCATATAAACTTTATTTTCTCATAAGCTCTTTTGTATGCATTTATCTTATGTAAATTCATTGGGCTGGCATTTTATAATGTTAAGTGCTCATTCAGAATTTTAAAAAGGGTTGATTTCAATTTTCATTTTTCATTTTAGGCCAGTCACCACAGAAAACCTCAGCAGCAAATTTACCAGTTCCCAACTCTATAAATAACTCCAGCTGCCTTTCCTCCTCTCATTCTCCATCAAGAAGTATAGCTGTTCGATCATTATCTAGAGCTGCTTCTGAAATTTCAGAAATTGAATATGTGGACATCACTGACAATAATGAGCCTTTCTTAGATGGCAGTGCTGAACAGGAAACCTTAGATAATTTGGAAAGAGAATTAAGTATGCTGAGAAGTCTTGCAGGTAGTGCTATTTTCTTATTTTTTTGCTCTGGACAGTGTTCACTGTGCCTGATTCTCCATATGCCTCTGCAAAAAAACAAGCTAACAAGCAAAATAGCCTTCTTTTCTGTTTTTAACCATTATACTTTATCCATTTCTCAGAAATCTTCCTATGTCATCCTGAAAATGTTAAAATGTGTGAAAGACCACCCTCACCGGAGAGAGTATCCCTTAGGGCATGTAATACACATTGGAATCATGGACTAAGGAGCTTCACGTGAACTGAAAAACAATTTTCTTCCTCCTTTCTACAAACTCACTGACTTTCTTACCTCTGTAGATTTACAAAAACTCTACAGTGTTCCTCAATCTCTAATATCTGTTTAAACCCACAAGAGATTCTGATTGAGTATATCAGTGGTAGGAATAGATATTCTATATATGTAACAAGTAATCATTTGGTGTCAACACTGCTTTTTGGCAGGCCATAGATTGAGGAGAAATTCTATTTGTACATTCTATTTCCTAAATCTCAATGAAAACATTGTAACATATAACCATATTCTTGAATATTCAAAGGTCTGGATTGGTAAAAATTAATGGGGGAATAAATCCTGTTAATTTCATCAGAAAGACATTCGTACAATTTGATAGAGCAGCTGCAAGCCCAAGAAAAAGGTCAGAAAGTTCTGTAGGCCAGTACATTGCATACTAACTGCTACTTCTCTTATTCACCTTAGAATAAAAAAAAGTGCTATATTTCTGAAAAGGATACATCTTAGTTTTAAAAATTCAAGCAATAGGGAAAAATAGAATATAGTAAGCCAAAATATTCCTATTATGAAAACAACCATTATTAATATTTGATAAACATTATTTTTAACATGTCTGTTTATAGTGTAAGTATACAAATATAAATTTATAGTTTGAAGAATGTGTAGACTGAAGGGAAGATTGTAGTTTTATAAAATGTAGATTGAAGCATTAAAAATGTATATATCTCCCTAATTTAACAAAAGAAAGAATGAAATGAAGCTAAGAGAAATTATATATTTCAATCTAATTTTTCAGCATAAATTATGTTGGATTATGTAAAACTTTTTTTTTCATAGGCAAAACATAGTGGAATATTGGTGATTTTATATGACCCAACTTGCAATTTATTCAAATATACTTTTAAAATTAAGGGACACATTTAAAAAAAAATCAACTATTGGAGCCATTTTTTAAAAATGAAGTATCATTGGTTTACAACACCCTTTGTGATTTGAGGCTATATAATATAGTTCTTTAGATTTGTGTTACAACAACAAAACGAACATAGATCATTGGTTCCCACCCACTTTGTTCTTAGTCCAATCTCCTCCTCTCAGTAGTTTTATTTAATCTAGAGGATTTAGTTTCAGACATAATGATTATATCCCTAGAGTGAAAGATGAGGTACCTTTTTTTCTCTTTATTTTGCTTTGTTTTGTATTCTTTCAGTGATTTATTTATTTATGCATACAATAACTGGGGTACAAGCCAGATGTGTGGGGGGCGGGGTGGGAGAATTCACCATAGACAGTGGGAAACAAAACAGGCAGATCTACTGAAATACACTGCTGATGGGAGCAGTGGACCAGACAGGAGAGCTCTGCTGTGTCATCTGTGTCACCTCCCTGGTTGGGGATCAAACTTTTGCTGCAGTGGCTTCAGGTTGCTTCATGGTGCTGCACTTTAACCCATTGTGCTGCACTTTAACCCATTGTGCCACCTTGCTTTGTTTTTTAAGCAGAATTGTTCTAGACTGTATTATATTGAACTGCCACTTTTTTTTTCAGATTTTTATTGCCTAGTAAGTGAAAATTAATATGGATTAAATATTCAATATTCAAAAATCGGTATTACTATGTATTGAGGTAATGTTGTAATACATGGTTCAGAGATATAAGTCCACACCTCTTCAAATGTATATTGCTATATCACCCAGAGCACTGAGTCCTCTACATAAGCCCTTTGGAGAACTTTATACTTTGTTTCCCATACCAACTTTCCCCTCTGGTAGCCTCAGTTCTTAGTCAGATTTCTAAGTTTTCTTTTTATCTTTGCCTAACTTTTTATTATTATTATTATTATTATTATTATTATTATTATTATTATTACATTGCACATCTGAGTGAAACCATCCAGCATTTGTTTCCATCCTTCTGGTTTGTTCTGCTTTAGCATATGCCCCCAGTTACACCCATGTTGCTGCAAATGGCAAGATTTCACCTTTTTTAATAGTAGACTAGAATTCCACTGTGTTTGGATATATATTATTAAACTACTTGTTTGTCTTTGGGCACTTAGCCATAACTTGGCTATTGGAAAGAGTGCTTCAATGAATATAAGAATGCATATATTGCTTTGAATCAATGTCTTTATAGTCTTTGTATAGATACATATGTGTGGAGTTGTTGAATCATATGATCATAAATATATGTTTAATCTTTTGAGAAAACCTCCATATTGTTTGCCTTGGGAGATAGACCAGTCTACTTTCCCACCTTTTTTTCTTCATCTTTACCAACCATAGTTTTTTTCTGACATGGGCCATTCTCACAGGCAGAGTGTTGTTATATTGTGAATTTGACTTGCTTAGCATTGAACTTATTCTTGTGCCTGTTGAATGGCCATGTGTATATCTTCTTTGGAGGTATTTCTAGTTCCCATTCAACTCTTTGATTGAGATTTGTTTCTTCTTCTTAGTTGTTAGTGTTTTATATAGACCTAGGATTTTAGTCCCTTCACTGCAGAAACATTTAGTTTGCTGTAGTCCTATTTGATTGTTTTTCTGTGTTTTTCCCGATTTAAGAGGAGAGCTCCTGAAGACTTTACTAAAGCTAATTTGTGGAGTGTTATCACTTTGTTTTCTAATGTAGTTTAATTTTGTAAGTCTAGTATTTAAACCACCTTTATTTGTTTTTTGTGTATGTAAGTGCATGGGTGTGAGCTATTAGTCTAGGTTCATTGTTTTGCATGTGGCTGTCAAGTTTTACCATACCAGTTTTTATAGACACTTTCCATTCTGAATTGTATTTTCTTGGCTTGTCATAGATTAGCTGTCCAATTAATTATGGGCTTATTTATAGGTTCTTAATTCCATTCCATTACAATTTTTAAAGATAATTTTATTTACTTATGCATACAAGAACTGGGGTCTAGGCTAGAGGTACAACAGGTGAGAGGATTCACCAAAGACAGAGTGGGGAACAGGTCAGGAAAACTGACTGATTTACACTGCTGAGGGGAACAGCGGGTGATACAGGAGAGGTTTGCTATGCCATGTGGGTTAGTTCCCTGGCTGGGGATTGAATTCAGTCCACTTTGCTGGTAATGGCTTGATAGTGCTGAGACTTCAACCCCTACACCATCAGGGGTGCACTCTACTCCATTATTTATACATATATTTTTATTCTAACACACTACTATTTTGATTACTATCACCTCTTATTATAGTTTGAAGTCTAGGGTTGCCTTTTTTTTATTTTTGTCAGAACTGTTTTAGGTATTTGAGTTATTTTTTTGTGTTTTTAAATGAAATGTTTTTTATATGTATTTTTTTTTTTTTTAGAAAGTCAGTATACCTTTAAAATATATTGCAGTGAACCTATGCATTGCTTTGAGAGACATGTCCATATTAACAGTGGTGATTATTTTAGTCCATGAGTGGGAGATATATTTCTATTCATTTGGAACTTCCATTTGTTTTAAGAATATATTATAGATTTCATTGTATGAGTCATTTACTCCATCGTTATGTTTATTCATAGTATTTACCTCTTTAACTTGAGAAAGTAAATTGGATTATATATTTCATACAATTTGACTATGTTTCCGCACTGGATCACCAAAAATTTTTGAATTCTATAGCTGCCCACTTTATTGTATTGATTTTTTTGTTTCTAATATTTATTTTTAGTGGAATCTTTAGGGTTTTCTTTGTGTATATCATCTGTAAATAGTCATACCTTTATTTCTTCTTTTCCAAGTTATTAACTGTATTTATCTTGCCTAATTGTTTTAGCTAATAGTTATAATATTGTATTGAATCATCATGTTGTAAGTGGCCATCCTTGCATTATATATGAACTTGGAGGAAAATTTCAGTTTCATACTACTGTGAATGATGTTACCTGGGGTTTGTCCTACTTATTTTGTTCAAATGTGTTTCTACTATTCACGCTATTATTTAGAGTTATTAATCATAGATGAATGTTGGCTTTATGACACTCTCTGACTCTATTGATATGATTGTATGATTTTTAATCTTTCCTTTTGTTGATATGGTGAATTAGATCCATCAATTTTTCAGGTGTTGAATCAATTACTGGAGTAGTTCCTCGTTGGCATTTTTTATATTGTCGACTTTGGTTTTCTTTGCTGAAAAAAAAAATGAGGATTTTTGCATCTATTTTCATCAGAGATTTTGGTCAATAGTTTCCAGTTTTTATAATGTCCTTTCTGCTTTTTAATAGCAGAAGACTTTTTAACTCATGCAAAGTGTTTGGAAGCATTCCCTTTCCTCAGTATTTTGCAGAATTTGGGAAAGTTACATTTGTCTTTTATGGAGTGATAGAACTCACTAGTAAAACCAGTGTTGTTGTTATTTGTGTGTGTGTGTGTGTGTGTGTGTGTGTGTGTGTGTGTATGAGAGAGAGAGACTTTTGATTGCCTTTCTTGTAATTGGTCTGTTTAAGTTTCTATTTCTTCCTGATTCTAAAATCGATGATTCTGAGTAATTTTCATTTCTTCAAGATCATTCAGCTTATTGGCATATAGATGTTCATTATATTATTCTCTTATGACCCTTTGTATATTGAGATTTCTGTTTAACAATTATTCTTTCATTTCTGATGCCACTTATTAGAGTTTCATCCTTTTTTTTAAATTTGCGAGCTTTTTTTTTCTTTATGAGTCTTTATGAGTGCTCTTTGTTTAATAACAAACTTTCAGTTTTCTTGATCTTGGACTGTTCAAATGTGCTCTCATTTATTT